TTCTTAATTATTGACATTTTTAAAGATATAAGCTCATCACAATGTTACACTCATTGAAACCTTTCATTTGAGTACCCATATCAATTTTTCATATATTTTATATATTTATGTATATTATATATATATGTATATATGAAATATATATCAAAATGCATGTAGGTACTCAAATGAAAGCTCTTGATGAGTGTAACATTGGGATGAGCTTATATCTTTAAAAATGTCAATAATTAAGAAATTGCATATTATTTTGTCAACTAATGATATTTTTAAAGATATAAGCTCATCGCGACATTTTACTCATCGATACCTTTCTTTGGAGTACCCACATCAATTTTTCATATATTTTATATATTTATGTATATTATATATATGTATATATGAAAAATATATAAAATTGCATGTGGGTGCTCAAATGAAAGCTCTTGCTGATTGTAACATTGGGATGAGCTTATATTTTTGAAAAGGTCAATATTTAAGAAAGTAAAGTGCAATTTAATAAAAATTTTTATTTAATAGAGCAAAATTTTAATTTTATTATAGTTTGCAAGTCACGAAAGTCACATAGTGACTGCAAGGTTGCTAGTAATTATTATTATTATTATCATTAGACCGTTTTAAATTTTAATAATAATAATAATAAAAATTGCTGCTCTTAAAAAAATTTTTATAAATTCTCACATAATTTTATCAAATTTACTAAAATTCTACGAGACAAATTTCAGTAAAAATTTTTATAAAACATATTTTCTTTTTTCTAAATTTTTTTTTATAATCAATATCATAATTTTCATTTTTTCCAATAAAAATATAATTTTTCTACCCGAAAAAAATCTGAACATCTCTTTATACCTTTTCAGATCGATTACCACTTAGCTAATCAGATTTCCTACCCGACTTCTAATATCTATTAAATTAATTACTGAACTTAATAACAAGTAAAAGAAAAAAATTACCTTGTAAGCCCAGTGTAAGCAATATAAAGTAGTGCCGATAAAGGCGGTAATATTAATAAAATCTTTAACAGCATAAATCCACTTTGGCTGAATTTGCACTGAATTATTATTATGTACAGAATTGTTATCAACGTTAGTGCTGTTATTATTATTATTATTATAGGAAGGAATAGATACAGCAGTAAATCCAGTTTTATTATCGATTGGAAGTACTATTGATGCAAGACTAAATGCTTTTTTAATTTCATCATCTGTCAACCCTTTGTTCAAAAGAAATTGATATTTTTTATCTGATGAACTCGCTGTGACTTTCGGGTTTTGAAGAAACTTGACCGCCGTACTTATCTAAAAAAAAAAAAAAAAAATAAAACTGTCAATTAAATAAAATAAATCATCAACAATTATTAATAATTAATTATAAAAAATACTTGCCAAATTTTCGCGTAAAGGATTATCATTGAAATTATTACTGTCACTGTACTCTGCCATTTTTTAAATATTAAATAAAATATATACACAATAAGCTACGGTTAACTTTAACTCAAGTCTTATCTGTTATTAATATATATTTATGAATATTATTATGTTTAAATTATGCATTAATTGTTTACTATTGGTCACTTATATGCCATTGTTATTTACCGTATCACTGTACGTGAATTTTATTGTGATAATCTATGCAACAACGTAACCTATATAAGTTGATCATAGTACATGCGTATAGTTCAAAATCCATCGGGGTGGTTCGGGCGGCTAGACTGTCACGCCAACTGGTGAGTAAATGATTATTTATACATCTTTCTGTCAAAAATATTGGAGTTTATTTTATGACACTGACGTTTACAGACATTAGAAATTTTTATGACACTGAAGTTAGAAGACGTGTAATAATTTTTTTTATTAATTAAATTACAACTAAAAAAACATTTCTAAAAAATTGCACTTATAGTTTTTAAAGTTTTTTACATGTGACAATTTTTTTTTTAATTGCTTAATTGAAATAATTTTTTATTAAAAAAATTTCTAAAAATTTTGAAATGCCGGCTAACTTCATTTTCATAATTTTATAACATTTAATTATGATAAAAATTTATTACATTAAAGTTAGCTGTCACTTGATTAATTTTTAATTTTATTTAACAATTGAATTAATTTTTTAAAATTATTTTTAAAAAATTGCGTTTTTAATTTTTAAAAATTTCTACATGTCAATTTTTTTAATATTTTTTTTTGCCATAATTTATTTGTTAAAAAAAATTCTAAAAATTATTAAATATCTGCTAACTTTATTATCATTAAAAATTTTATTGAAAAATTCCATGCGTTGAAAATAAAAAAATGACAAGGGGATACTTTAATGACATATTAAAGTTAGCAGTCACTTCACAATTTTTTAATTTTATTTAACAAAAAAATTTGTTCAAAAAAATGATTTTTAAAAAATTGCATTTTTAATTTTTTTAAATTTCTACATGTCAATTTTTTTTCTAATTTTTTTTTTGCCATAATTTATTTGTTATAAAATTTTTAAAATTACTAAATATATGCTAAATTAAATTTCATGACACTTTAAAAAAAAATGATAATAAAATTAGCCGACATTTATAATTTCTTGATTTTTTTTTTATTAATTAAATTAGAACAAAAAAATATTTTTAAACAATTGCACTTACAGTTTTTAATGTTTTTTCCCAACAAAAATTTTTATTCTTTTTTTTTTGGTCATTTTTTCAATAAAAAAACATTAAAAAATTTTTAAATGTCAGCTAACTTAATTTTCACTAAAAAAATAAAAAAAAAAATTACAAATACAATAATTTTAAAAATAACTTTTTTTTTTTATGATAATAAAGAAAAATTGTCAAGTGTCTGATGCTGATTTCAGTATCATTTATTTTTGTATAAATAAATATATGTCAATTTTTAATATTTCACAGAGAAATTTCAAGCTTAGGAATTTTATAAAGTGAAATATTACAAGTAATTAATAATTTTAATTATTTAAAACAATAATTTTCTGTGTTGTATAAATAGTTACATTTATGATACTGAAGATGACAGACAGAAATTTTTTTAACGCAATTAAATTATTATGAAAAAAATTTAATAAAAAAATTCCACGTGAAAATTAAAAAAAAGAAATACAAGGCTAAGTTTTTTAAAGCATTTTTATTATTGTAATTAATTTCATATAAAAAATTAAAAAATTGACAGGTGTCAGATATCTCCAGCATCATGTTACTTTTCATAACAAAAAATTTTATTTAATAATTTTTTTAATTTTAACAATATTAATTACCAATTAAATTTTTAAATGAAAATTTTAATAATTAAAATTATGTTTTTAAATATTTTTATTTTCCTCATTAGTTATCAATTATTATTGCTGACAAGATCTATAGTATAATTATAAAAGAAGTTTTTTTTCTCTCAAAAATTTCACTTGAATTTTCTTAACATAAATTAATATTTATACGTCAAAAGTAGCACAAGTACATTAAAAATTACACGTATCATAATTTTAGTACAGGTACTTGTCATAAATAATTTTAACACAAATAATCTCATTATATTCCATAAAATTCTCACGTAACTTGTTCTAAATTTAAAATCATTCCAGATAACATAATTAATAATTAGTAATTAAAAAATATTATTTTAATTGTTCAATAGTGAAATCCTGTTTGACAGTATGAAAAACAACTTTAAAATAGGGGCTTGTACTAGGTGCCTCCATCTGAAAAAAATCATCTTAAAAAATATTCAATAAAATTTTCTAAAAAACTTACAATATTTTTTTTTCAAATTTGAAAAAATTCATGACACTGAAGGTGACAGACATTAAAAATTTTTTTATAATTTTATAACAATAAAATTTCACAAGTGAAAATTAAAAAAATTTTTTATTTTATTTTTTTTATTGTAATTGTTATAAAAATTAAAAAAATCGACAGCTGTCAGCTAACTTCAGTATCATTAAAATTTTTTTTTTCTTCAGTGACATTTATAAATCTTTATCATAACAAAAAGGACAATTAAATCATAAAACTGAAGTTAGCTGACAGCTGTCATTTTTTGGATTTTTAAAAACAAATCAATTACTACTAATAAAATATTAAAAAAAAAAAATTGTGACACTGAAGTTGACAGAAATTAAAATTTTTTTTTATAATTTTATAACAATTAAATTATTATGAAAAAATTATTTTGACATTCAAGTTAGCCGTCACTTGAAAATTTTTTAATTTTATCTAACAAAAAAATTTGTTCCGAAAATTATTTTTAAAAAATTGCACTTTTTAGTTTTTTAAATTTCTATATGTCAATTTTTTTAATAATTTTTTTTTCTTGTCATAATTTGTTTGCTAAATTAATTTTCATTTTTTTTTTCCAAAATTGATTTGTTATAAAAATTCAAATAATTAACAGTTTTCAGCTAACTTTAGTATCATAAAAAATAACAATAAAATTTTTTAGAAAAATTTTATTACCAATTTATTTGTTAAAAAAAAAATTCTGTACTAGAAATTATCAGATATCATTTGATTTCAGTGTCATAATTAATGACATTAAATTTAGCAGTCACTTGACAATTATTTTATTTTATTCAACAAACAAATTCGTTCCAAAAAATAATTTTTAGAAAAATATTTTTAATTTTTAAAAATTTCTACGTCAATTTTTTTTATCATAATTTATTTGTTAAAAATATAAAAATTATCAAATATCTTAAATTAATTTTAATTCATAATTAATGAAAATTAAAGTAGCAGATATAAAACAATTTTTAGAATTTTTTTTTTTTAAATAAATTAGTGCAAAAAAATTGACTTGTAGAAATTTAAAAAAATTAAAAATGCAATTTTTCAATAATAATTTTTTATAACAATTATTTGCTAAATGAAAGTTAAGTTAGCTGACATCTAAAAATTTTTATAATTTTTTTTATTGAAAAAAATGATTACACAATTAAAAAAAAATTGACATGTAGAAAATTTGAAGAACTGTAAGTGCAATTTTAAAAAAACATTTTTTAGTTCTAATTTAATAAATGAAGAAAAATCAACAAATAAAAAATGTCAGCTAACTTTATTATTATAATTATAAAATTAAAAAATAGTCAAGTGACAGCTATTAAAACTTAAATGTCATTCATAATTAAACCAACTACAGGTTAATGTATAACCTAACTTTTAATTTTTAAAAATAAAAACAAAATTTCACCGAAGAAAAAATATTAATTATTTTATTATTAAAAAATTTCACTTAACTTTTTATAATTTTAATTAATAAAAATTTTAAGAAGAAGTTATCTACAAAATAATAAAAAGAAAAAAACACATGGGATTTGATATTTGAAAGTCCGACAGTGCTGCTCGCACAGAATGTGTGTAAAAATATTCAAACTAGGGACGGATTGTGAGCATTCACATAGTTTATGTAACATGTATATGTACACACATATTTAGTAACTGGGGGTATGTGTAAGCATGGTATGTGCAGCATGTGTGTGTGGACGACATACTCCTGGAAAATGACGCGCTCTCATTTGATGATTTATCGTGTTGTCAGTGTTAATCCGTAATGTAAGTATGTTAACTCGTGAATATATGTGTAAAAATGCATAAACAACCGCTGAAAAATAGTGCATTGTTTTTAACGTGAAACAAAATTTTTTACTTGTTTTAAATTATTGTTAATTATCCTGCTGCACAGTCAACACGTAACCTAGGTTAGTAAATTGTTTTTTATAATAATTTCAATCAATCCAATTACTAGGTTAGTAATAATATTTTTTTTGTGTTTTGTTTTCTTTTATATATGCCTATATTTTGTTTGTAATAGCTTGCAAGTAGTTTTTTAAATTTGGTTATTGTTTGGAAGTTAAGAAGAGCGGAATAACCTATAAATTAAAAAAAAAAAAAAAAAGAATCTGGAGATTATAAAAAATTTACTGCGAATTTTAATTAAACGTCATTTATTATAATTATGTGAAATAGAAAATTTAAATATCAGTAAGTTTAAAAATTTTTTTTTTCTTCTTTCTAATAAAAAAATTAATTTTTACTCTGAAAATTTTATTGAACATGTCAAAAAAATTAATTATTTCTTTTTAGAAAATATTTTTTTTAAATTAAATTTAGTTTTTTTGATTAATGCAGAAATTTTTTTTAAATAATTTAATGAAAATTAAGTTAGCTGACATTTAAAAATTTTTAGAATTTTTTTTTATTGAAAAAATGATTACAAAAAAATAAAAAAAAAA